GACCAAAATATAACTATATTTGTAAAATTAAAATTCATTTTCAATCAATGCGAATAAATTTTAAATAATCAGGGTTAGAAAGTTGATGACTTTAGCACTTTTTTTACGTCTAAGAAAATAAATTTCTAACAACAAATAGGTACGTTTCAGTTGTAACCAATATTCAAATAAAAATTTTCCACCAAATGTTTGCATATTTTATCGAATTTTGTACACTTTTAAAAAATTTGAATTTGTAATTTAAGGTTGATTTTTTGTAGTTTAAAGTAATTTTTAAACAGTTTTTTATGATGTAGAGAAAAATCACGACTTTTTGCTTTTACATATTATTGTAATAATAAGTAAATTACTTATATTTTTATGTCAATATGTGGCGTGTACATATCTTAAGAAAATAAACTAAATTAAACAGTTTTATTTTATTTTGTGTATGAATAATGTTGATTATTGGACCGAATAATGTCATTAGCCAAAAATTGTGGTCAAACTTAACATTAGCCAATCTCCAGACATCGGCCGCAATACACAATATATATATATGAGACCAGTCTTTCGTCGTCCGATCGGTACCGGAAGTGGGCGGCGTACACGTGTCGGTTTAGCTCATTTTCGTCGCCTGGAACCCGGAAACTATAAATATATATATATATATATATATATATATATATATATATAAATATATCATATTGGAATGCACTACACACGCACGAACGGCTGTCATGGAACTCCGAATCATGTGCGGTCCATCGTCTCGTGGAGGTGAACGTTCGAAGAGTTCACGAAACTAGACCTCGAGGCCCGCCCCCGTGACGCCTATCAGCTGGTGCCACAATATAAAGTCATCAGCAATCATATCGTAATTATAATCGTTTAGCATAAACATTGATCTACAAGTCTGCAACAGACAACAGTATGGCATGGACATCGTGTTGAAGGACTCGTATAGTCAAACGTACATATATGTGTAAGTGTTTGATTTAAATAGGTAGTGATTTAGATGGGCACTGCAATATTATTAATTTAAATCAATGCTTGGAGATCATATATCTACCGCCAGTGTACACTGCTGGGCATTTAACGAGTTAACATTCAGTCGAAAGTCAAGTTAATTGAAACTCTTAATATTAGTTTTTATTAACCACGTAACCGACTTTTAACTAGATCGATTTCATTTTCAGCTTTTAAATTTCACGATAATATACTTGCTGGATAATCAGTCTTCGACCGTGTGCAGTAATATTTTTTTTTTTTTTTGTGGCAATTCCTGAATAGTACATACACTAAACACATAGGTGTATCTCGGTGAGTGTATCTCAGTTTTAGTGTACCTCAGGTCACGGACAAATCAGCGTCAGTTTATAGTCCAGGGACTGGAACCTTTTGAATTTATCGGTATAGGTTCCGGTACTGGTTCTACAAAAAGAAAATAGCTGTTCCGGTTCGGTTCTGGTTTTTTGATAAAAAAATAAAGGTATCGGTTTCAAATAATTTTGGTACCGGTTCCAGATAATTAAGGTACTGAAAAGTACAATAATTTTAAATACCTATCCGGAATGCGTGGTTTATTAGTAGCAAGAGAAATATTAGAAAACTGATATATATATATATATAATCATTTATAGTTTATACACAAAACAGTTATACCATTAAGTTATGATAGTTGAAATAATTTGATTTTTGAACCTAAAAGAACCTATTTAATTTAAAAATGCCGGTTCGGTTCCGGTACTTTATTTATTAAAATAAAGATTTTGGTTCCTGTTCCGGTTCTTAATATTTTAAAGGTACTGGTTCCATAATCGGTTCTCTTCTAGTCCCAGGTCTATACCAAAAGATTTGTGAAATAATTTGACCTACAGGTGTGGAACCGCGGATCGGATTTAGCACTATTGGTAAATTTTTTTAAGTGGTTCAAAGTTCAAACTACTAACTCTCTTCACTTTTCTGAAATCTATAAAAACAATCTATTTTCTTGAAAATCAATCGATTTTTTTTGGAGTACATAAGCTACAAACATATACATTTGGTTTTAAGATATATTTCTTTAATCGAGGCCATGTGTACGTGACGGTAACCAACAATTTATGCACAAAAAATAAAAATGTCTACTATTTCTATTATAATCTGCAACCTTAAACGGTTGCCCATTTATAAACAAAAAAAAGTTTCAATATCCATCGTCAAATGTGAATCTCTAAATCCTCGTTTGAGGATCTGTTTAAAATGAGAATTTTGGAAAATCTTTTCTTAGCGGGTGGTGGGTCTCTACATCATATTAAAACCAAACTACCCACCAAATTTCATACCCATAGTTTTGGCGGTTCCGGCTAGACGATGGTGAATCATTTAGTCAAAAATGTTTAACAAGTTCGTTTACTTATGTTGGGTACGGATCCGTCACACGTCTCGCGGACTTCGGTCGACCGTTCGTCGTTATCGGCCTACACCCCACCACGAGCACACGCGCTTCATACAACGCTTATCTCGCCGTTGTCGCGCGTGTTTATATCATCGTTTCGCAGTCCGTCGTCTCTCGTCCGTCGTACGTCGCTCAGCCATCCTGGCCCTTTCGGCTTAACGGTTTTGTGTTTTTTCATACCTTACGGCCGTCTGCGCCAAAGGTACCGCCCGGACAGTGTTATGTCCGTTTTCGTGTAGTGTCGTTCTGCACACACACGAACTTCATTATTTTGCGGCCGTCTGCGCCAAAATAATAACCGCCGTTTTTCGCCGTCCGATCGTTTCGCCGTGCGACCCCGAGCCGTGGTCACCCACGTGTCCACGTGGTTTTTCTGTCGCGAACCGGCGCCCCGTCGTCGTAAATCACCATTGTGCGTTTTTTGTTTTTGTGCACCCGAGCCCTCGCGCTCACCAACACATCGTGTCCGCGATCCGTGTTTGCCGAACCCACGGCTTATTTTGTTCCGCCTGTCCGATCTTTTTCGCTGTGCGCCCCGGGCCATGCACCTATACGTCCACGTGGTTTCCGTCCGTTCGCTTGACGCAGTGCGAAATCACCGAACGCGGTGCGCTCACCTAGTTTTTTTGTATTGTTGTGTCGTTGTGGACGACGTCCGTCCCGCAACCCGAGCCGTGCGCAGAATTTGTTAATTTACATTCGCGCCCACGTGTTTTCGTCCGCCGTCGTTACCGGCCGCATATACGTGGTGTCGTCGTACCTGTTCGTCACGTTCGACGTAGGTGCAAGTGCTGCACACCAGTTCAACGTCCGTTGTCACCGTCTCACCGTCGAACCGGGTCAGTTGCCGCACTCTCACCGTGGTATCATCGAACTTTCATCGTATCAGGTCGTACACACGATTATCTTGTTTGTTATTGTTTACATTTATTACTCGCATTACGCAACCCATACGTTTTTTTTGTATTATTATATATTGAATTATTATAGTAGTTTTTTGCCGATCGAGTTGTGATCGTGCCATGACAAATACTATTACTAACACTAGTACGTAAGATATTTGAATTGCAGAACGCCAACAATAAATATTGTTCTGTACATTGCCATACCATCGAACTCAATGTTATTAGTTATCTTATATTCATGTCCTTATAGTTATACAGTCCACTATCTCTCTCATCCTCCTCCCCACCGATAGAACGTCGAGGAATATTATACCTACGAAGACAACGAACGCGTCGGTTTACGTGTAGCTGCCGCCTGTGCACACACATCCAGGTACATCCGTCGCCCGGCTTCCTTGTGCAGCCCCCTTCTTCGCACATTTTTTGGTCCTTCGGGCCGGATAGTTCACAAAATCGTTGTCTTTCGTTTCAAGTTGTTCTTGTATTTTTTAACGTTGCACTAATATTTTTCGATAATGACAAACAAAACTAAAAAAAATGAAACGGCCGAGCAAGCGTTGGAATGTGCGCGTATTGCACGTAACCGCGCACAAAAATCAATATCGGATATTTTGAACATCGCGAGGCTATCTGTGAACAATCCCGCGAAACGGGAACAATTATCCGCTAGTGTGAAACGCTTAGATAGTTTTTTTTCTCGCTTTCAAGCTGAACAAGATGTTATTATTAATTCATTGGTTGTTGTCGGTCGTTCCGATGAGTACGAATCGATCGATTCACCCGTAGTGGATACCGTCGAAGCCGTTGTCGACGAAATTCGCGAAATTGTTGATCGAACGTCCGAAGTAACCGCGGCCATACAACCGGTACCTACTCGGCAATCGTTTAGTGCACTTCCGAAAATTGAATTGCCGTCGTTCGATGGGTCCATAACAAACTGGTGTGCGTTCCGTGATAGTTTTAAATCGCTTGTACATGAAGATTCCAATGTCGATAATATACACAAATTTCAGTTGTTGTCACAGAGTCTGACCGGTTCTGCATTATCCGTAATTAAATCTATTCCGTTGTCGGCGGCGAATTATAACGTTGCGTGGGCAGCGCTCACCGACCGATTTGAAAATAAACGTTTGCTCGCAACTGCTCATTTGGACAAGCTTTTCGCTTTCAAACCTATCGCTCAAGAATCAGTACCAGCTTTGACTACTTTTTTAAATATTTTTAAAGAAAATGTCAGTACGTTAAAATTACTCGGAGTTGAAGATCTCGCGGGTTTTATGTTGTTTTTTTTGGGTTCACGTGTATTAGATCCGAACACCCGTCAATTGTTTGAAGCGGACATTTGTCAATCCACTATTCCGAATTTTGATACTCTCATCACCTTTGTTCAAAAACGTATAAAAATATTGGAGAACATACAGGGCGTCGCCAAGACTGAAAACCGATCTAATAAATTTCAAAAACCTATAGCATCGAAGTTAGTACTTACTACCGCGAGTAAACCTATTCATAAGAATAAAAGCCTGTCGTCGTCTTCGTCAAAATTGAACAAACCTAAGAACTGCACTCTTTGTAATCGTGGTGAACATTTTTTGTATCATTGTCCGGAATTTAAGACATATTCCGTATCACCACGTCGGGAATACGTCAAAGAAAATAAACTGTGTTTTTCGTGTATGAGTTCTACACACATTGAAGACACGCCCAACACGAAGCGAGGAGTGTTATCCGCCATTGCTAGATTGTTTGACCCCATTGGTGCCCTCGGTCCGATGCTATTGTGGGCGAAGTCATTCATGCAACAACTTTGGCAGACGCAGTTAAATTGGGACACTCCGCTTCCTCCACATCTACGTATAGCATGGCGTCAATTTTTATCAGAGCTTCCGTCGTTGTCTAACCTTACTATCACTCGCCATATTGACATCCGAGAATATCAGGACGTTCAGCTTCTAGGATTCGCCGATGCGTCCCAACGGGGTTACACCGCGAACGTGTACCTTCGTGTGGTCCATCCAACTGGTAAGGTTTCCGTTTCTCTTGTGATTTGCAAGACCAAGGTCGCCCCTTTGAAGGGTAGTGAAAGGGATGAGTCTCTTACCATACCTAGGTTAGAGTTATGTGCGGCCCTATTGTTGGCTCAGCTGTTGCATCGTCTCCACACGAAAATCGCGTCTGTCATTCCTATATCACATGTGCGTGCCTGGACTGACTCGTCAGTTGTCTTGTCTTGGCTTACGGCGGATCAAAAAATGTTCAAGATTTTTGTTACTAACAGAGTAGCCAAAATTCATACTTTACTTCCAAATTGCAAGTGGTCACATGTACGTACCACAGAGAATCCTGCGGACCCCTCATCACGCGGATTATTGCCTAGTGACCTTGTAGCTTGTACGCTGCATTGGAAGGGTCCATCGTTTTTACAGTTTTCGGAAGATCAATGGCCAGGACCACAACTCGAAACACTCAGTCTTGACGGCTTACCTGAGGTGAAGAATCCGTCCACGTGCGTGATGGTTGTCTGTGAAACGCCGAGCTTCGATACCTTTCTACTTCGTTTTTCGTCATGGTCCCGTCTTCAACATGCGTTGCGCTTCGTTGATCGTGTAATCGTAAAGCGACCCACGAACACGGACGCCCTTACACCAGATGAATTACAGCGTGCAATGCGACTTGCCGTTCGAGTCACTCAACGTACATATTTTCCCGAGCTCCTAAAACAACTGGCCAAACCCAACCACCTAGTGACGCCCTCGACTATGGCTCAGTTAGCACCTTTTATGGACCATGCAGGATTAATTCGAGTTGGTGGTCGGTTGCAGCGTTCAATGTTGTCTGATGACGCGAAACACCCGTATCTACTTCCGAAGGAATCCCACGTCACGTCACTGCTGATCACCGCGTTTCATCGAAGACTCTTACACGCAGGACCGAAGCTCATCATCGCGATGCTACGTCAAGAATTTTGGATTGTGTCATGCCGGGAGGCCGTTCGTCGTGTTATTTTTAAATGCGTCACGTGCACAAGGCACAAAGCACTACATCCAACACCCCGTATGGGTATCCTGCCTGAAGCTCGTGTCCATTCAGTTCGCGCGTTTTCGAGTGTCGGCACGGATTATGGAGGACCCTACCTCATTAAAGAATGTAAAAGACGAAACACGAAAACCACTAAAGTCTACATTGCGTTATTTGTTTGTATGGCTACCAAAGCCATACATCTTGAAATTGTTTCCGATTTGACAGCCGACGCGTTTCTTGCCGCTCTAGATAGATTTGTCGCACGCCGGGGTGTACCAGCACATGTGTATTCAGATTGCGGCACAAATTATGTTGGTGCTGCTAGACAGTTAAAACAGATATTTCGGGATAAAAACGTCCAAGCCCAAGTGTCCGCTCATGTCGTTTGCGATTGGCATTTCAATCCACCTGCCACGCCACATTTTGGTGGACTCTGGGAGGCGGGCATCAAAAGCGTGAAGTTCCATTTGAAACGAGTGATTGGCACTCAAGTGCTTACCTACGAAGAGTTCGAGACATTGTGTGTTCGAATCGAGGGAATTCTTAACTCACGCCCTCTCACTCCAGCTTCGATGGACCCACATGATCACACCGCCTTGACCCCTGGACATTTCCTCATCGGACAACCAATCATGGAAGTACCAGAAGTAAACCTCACCGAGGTTCCGATGAATCGACTGACACGTTGGCAGCTTCTTCGACAAATGCATCAGTCGTTCTGGAAGCGATGGTCACGGGAGTACTTGAATACGCTGCAGGGTCGTCAGAAATGGACTACTATCCAGGATAACCTTAAAGTGGGGGATCTTGTCATTGTGGATGCTCCAAATCAGCCCCCTTCCGCGTGGCGTATGGGACGCATTACAGCTGTTCATCCAGGTCCAGACCAAATCGTCCGCGTAATTACCATCATCACACAAGATGGGGAGATGAAGAGACCGGTGGTCAAAGTTGTTAAACTGCCAACAGATAAGTAGACTATCCTGGCATCCTTTCGTTCATCCTCCATCCTCTTTTAAATTGTATCTGTATCTCTGTGCCATTCAATGTATTTTTATATTTGTATTTTTTATGTATTTCTTGAACCCGCAATTTTTTGTAATGTGTACGATCTGGTCTTTCAACATCAATCTTCAGCTCTGATGGTTCCTTGAAAGCCCACGGCTTTCAACGGGGGGAGAAAATGTTGGGTACGGATCCGTCACACGTCTCGCGGACTTCGGTCGACCGTTTGTCGTTATCGGCCTACACCCCACCACGAGCACACGCGCTTCATACAACGCTTATCTCGCCGTTGTCGCGCGTGTTTATATCATCGTTTCGCAGTCCGTCGTCTCTCGTCCGTCGTACGTCGCTCAGCCATCCTGGCCCTTTCGGCTTAACGGTTTTGTGTTTTTTCATACCTTACGGCCGTCTGCGCCAAAGGTACCGCCCGGACAGTGTTATGTCCGTTTTCGTGTAGTGTCGTTCTGCACACACACGAACTTCATTATTTTGCGGCCGTCTGCGCCAAAATAATAACCGCCGTTTTTCGCCGTCCGATCGTTTCGCCGTGCGACCCCGAGCCGTGGTCACCCACGTGTCCACGTGGTTTTTCTGTCGCGAACCGGCGCCCCGTCGTCGTAAATCACCATTGTGCGTTTTTTGTTTTTGTGCACCCGAGCCCTCGCGCTCACCAACACATCGTGTCCGCGATCCGTGTTTGCCGAACCCACGGCTTATTTTGTTCCGCCTGTCCGATCTTTTTCGCTGTGCGCCCCGGGCCATGCACCTATACGTCCACGTGGTTTCCGTCCGTTCGCTTGACGCAGTGCGAAATCACCGAACGCGGTGCGCTCACCTAGTTTTTTTGTATTGTTGTGTCGTTGTGGACGACGTCCGTCCCGCAACCCGAGCCGTGCGCAGAATTTGTTAATTTACATTCGCGCCCACGTGTTTTCGTCCGCCGTCGTTACCGGCCGCATATACGTGGTGTCGTCGTACCTGTTCGTCACGTTCGACGTAGGTGCAAGTGCTGCACACCAGTTCAACGTCCGTTGTCACCGTCTCACCGTCGAACCGGGTCAGTTGCCGCACTCTCACCGTGGTATCATCGAACTTTCATCGTATCAGGTCGTACACACGATTATCTTGTTTGTTATTGTTTACATTTATTACTCGCATTACGCAACCCATACGTTTTTTTTGTATTATTATATATTGAATTATTATAGTAGTTTTTTGCCGATCGAGTTGTGATCGTGCCATGACAAATACTATTACTAACACTAGTACGTAAGATATTTGAATTGCAGAACGCCAACAATAAATATTGTTCTGTACATTGCCATACCATCGAACTCAATGTTATTAGTTATCTTATATTCATGTCCTTATAGTTATACAGTCCACTATCTCTCTCATCCTCCTCCCCACCGATAGAACGTCGAGGAATATTATACCTACGAAGACAACGAACGCGTCGGTTTACGTGTAGCTGCCGCCTGTGCACACACATCCAGGTACATCCGTCGCCCGGCTTCCTTGTGCAGCCCCCTTCTTCGCACAACTTATATAGATTATATACCTAGGTAGTTATGTATACGGTTAGGTTTGATTCGTAACACTTTTATGATCTTTAAAGAGTATGTTTATCTTCTTATTAAAGTCTCGACCGTAATTATTAGTCTGTGCGTATAGATTATTTTTTGAAACTCCCCTTAAAGTGGGTTAGGTACCATTCATATGAGTTTCCATAGTTATATTTGTATACAACAGGTGATTATTTATGAGTATATTTTTGATATTTTGTAACTTTGTAACTCTAGAGGATTCACTTATTGAATAAGTAAGTATTGAAGATACTTACTTTTTTAGAATAAGTATGTTTTTAATAACATGGGTACACGCGGTGCAAAATTAAAATGACTTTAGTATGTATCCTATGTATATTTTATGTCAATACTCCATGTAGTTTATGATCCATTTTCTATTAGGTGCTCTCAAGTCCCTTCATCGATACTAATTATATCTAAGTATCTTGTACGTTTTTAAGTGCGACATAAATTATACAATACTAAAATAAAAAAATAAAAAAACATAGTAAATAAATTACTATAAACCTGACTAACTACGAGTTCTCATATAAACTATACCTCTCAGAAGTGAACAGATCATTTCATTTAGTTGATGTTTTGAAGTGCATACTATTCGAGTTCGATTTGATATCCAATTTATGTTATGGTCCTCATGTGTGGACGAGTTAATTTACGACCAATGACACGACTAATTCATCAAGTGTTTTATGATTCACTTTTAGTTGTTTTTTTAATTTTAATTTTTATTATTATTGGGTAGTTAGGTATGTTAGTATTTTTATCACTAAAGTTAAAATTTTTAAATAATTCTGTTCGATAAACTGTATAGTTTTAGGATATAATATTTCAGACACCATTTTATAAGCTTTAATAAAATGTTTTTGTGGTACCTACTTAACATTCCAATGATCTTTTTATTATACTTAAAGGATGATTATATTTAAACATTTTAATTTTCCTCATAATCTGCGTTTTGTAGGCTCTCACTTTATTTTTTCATTTTGACATAACTTGTGTATTAATACTTTAATTTTTAAATAAATTATTAATTATATAAATTATAGTTAGAAAATTTAAATTAATTTCTGTAAAAATAATTTGATTCTTGATCTACGTGCACTAAAATACATGTTCGATATCTTTAATTTTTTTTAATTATAATTTTTTTTTTAAGTTTTCCTGTCATTAAATCACCTAAACTTTGGTAAATAGATTATAGATATCATTGGTTATATAGTAAGATATAACTAGGTTTTAAATTTAACAGAGTACAATAAAATATATTAAATTCAAAATTGAGGGATTGAAGTCCAAAATACTGATTTTTCAGTAGAATCGCTTTTCTGTATTCTAACATTTCTAATAAAAACAAACCATTTATAAATAGATAAATCATTTTGAAGATGAGAAATTTTTTTTAAATAATATATAATTTACATTTAAAATGATTCAAATGTAATCAGTATTCTAGGATTATATTTTTAATTTAATTTAAAAATTTTAAAAATAAATTGTAGTACCTACGTTTTGGATTAATTATTTTACTTCCCCATTCCTATAATACATGTAATAGTTTATGTCTTGGCATAACATAAAGAAAGTACTTTTTGCTGTAGTTAAATATGCGACTGGTGTTTATTCTTTTAATATTGGCAATAGTAGGTACGTTTTAATTTTCTAAATATAATTTTTATGTATAGAAAATGTTTGTTTTGGATTAACCATTCATTTTGAATAGCAGATTTGATCAGGATATAGTACGTCTTCAATCGATTTATAGGTGTTTTTTTTTCCATAAGAATCGATATCTAACTCGATTTGGACAATAGTACCACTCAATTATACAAATACGTAAATACAGCGTGTGTTAGGAATGTTAGGATACGGACATTCAGCCCGGCATTTTGTGCACCACTTGCTTTGTGACTGAAGAAGCTTACCGATAGGCCGTTAATAGTGTTCGGATTTGATAAGTATTTTTTTATCTAGATAAGTCCAAACACTGGTCGTTAATGCAGTTTTTGATTGTTGATATTTTGAAGTCTGCGTGCAGTTTGCAATGATGCATTTCGAATAACCCTTGGAGCATTTGAAATCACACGTAGGACATTGGATTGTAGGACTTGTATTTTATTTAAATGAGTTGTAGCACATCGACCCCTGACCAGACAGCATATAGTGGTAGAAGACGAATAATTTGTTTGTATAACAATAACGAACACTTCCAGCAGTTCCAGTTAGATGGAGTTTGACGATTAGCTCGTATTATATATGCATCGCTTTATCGCCATCAGTAAGTTTACGATGTTATTGATTTCGTGCGAACGGTTGATGTGACGGCGGTGATTGACGGACACTTAACATAGTGTACCTACAGCACAATAAAATAAAATATTATAAACAATATACCTAACATAATTCACAATCGTGAACTATCGGAGGTTTAAGGCGTTCGATTTCGGACATTTACTATGGAGTGCACTTATTGCAAAGTGTAAAAATGATTCATCGGAAGATACATATTATTATAATATTACAATGAACGGGTAGGCACATTATATAGATATTATAAAATATGTAACCAAATGTAACCACAAACTCGTTTTTTTTATTAATAAAAAATAATAATATCGACACAATATTTTAGTGTGGGTATATTATTGTTGGCAAAAATATTATCGTGAAACATCAAAGATATAATATTACTCACTATAACGTTATATCAGAGGTGGATAAGTCGATGAAAAAAATTTACTTGAGATAACTTGGTTAGTGTCAACGTTAAGTACGTTGAGCTTTTAGTTAATAGTTATCAAACACTATACTGTTTTAATATACAGTTTTCATGGCCAATATGGATATAAATAATGACTTGACACGATTTTCAAAAAAAAAAAAATATCACTTAAAAATGTATAACTAAAAAAGTTGGTTCTCATATGGAAAAAAACAAGTTTTTATCGCTACGAGATACATATTTTATATTTAATATAATGTACAGTTACATAATTGCTCAAACGAATCTTATTATAATAATATTAAATAATATATTAATATAATATTTTATATAAAATGTTTGAAAAAAAAACAACATTTGATTAAATGTATTACTAAAGGAAGGCTAACAGATGAGGATAATATGAATCACCTCGTGTATAAACAGAATTAAACTTCAAGTTTGTTTGAAAACTGACTGGAAAAAATTAAGTTCTCACAATTAATTATTTAGATTAGAAAATAAACTAACCATAGGTAGTAAGTTTAAAATTTAAAAATGTACTTTTTCAACTTTTAAATTACCTACCTATATAGTGAATTAGCCAGCATTTGGTTGTAATAGTTGCAATTGTATATACATATAGGTATCTACCAAAGTACCAATGCTGTTTGCAAACATTATT